CAGCCACACCAGCCCCACCCGCAACCCTGGAGGAAGACACACCCTGTGCTGGACGTTGCTCTTGAGGGGCCCCACGAAAATCTGCAAAACCGCTCCCTTGGGGAAGAGACGTGACCTTGTTCATCACCCAGACACTCGGCACTTCTCATAGACGTTTTCTCTGCTAGCAAATGCCCTTCACACACAACTTGTCAAGGATTCATTTCTTGTGGGAGATTTGCACTGGCCAAGGATTATAAATTTTTAAAAATTCTGTCTCTGTCTTCAGCTGGGCCCCTTGCTAAGCGAGCGCTGTACAATAATCACAGGCCAGATGAAAAAGGTGCTACGGTTCTTCCTCCACGGCACAGACTAAATTTGAGACAAAACCAGAGCGAGGAAGAGCTGGGGGCTAAACACAAAACCCATCCCCACCTGTGTGAAACTCCGAGACAGAGGCAGGGTGGGAATCTGAGCTGGCGCTTGCCTGGTAAGGAGGTCAGCGAACCAGACAGGATTGATCAACACCACCGGCTCAGTCAGCAAGTGGAACACATTTAGAAGGCTTCTGATTGGAAGCCGTTTGACTCAAAGGTGGTGCATCAAGCCCAGAATTTTAGCAAAGCTCAGCCGCGTCAGGGTGGAATTCTATTAACCTGTTCCCTGAAACTGTGTTTGCTGTAATTGCCAACCATCGTTTCTTCTTTTTAAAAAATTAGTTTTTTCCAGGTTAACCATAATGTTCTCTTGCTCTGCCTAAGGCCGTGGGGGAATCTGCACTCATCTAGCGAGGCAGAAGACTGGGATTGTACCGTGGAAGGCTGGATCTCACCCAGCTCCACACACATCCTGCTCGCTCTCGTCATAGACCCAGTCTGTGTCTCCGTCCCCAAACAAGAACAAAGAGAAGCAAGTGTGACAGCCTCCACCCCCCGAAACAGGCCTTGCACCCAGCAGGGCTGCAGGCTTCCTTCCCGTTTCTGTCCTTTGGTTTGAGGGCTGAAACCCCATGAATTTACTGTGGCTCATGGGTATAAAGAAGCCTCCCCCAAATCAGAAAGGCCCCTGTGCTGGCCTACTGTGTGCCTGCACTGTGCTCACCCACGAAAGCTCAAATTGTAAGCTCCCACTGCGTGCCAGAGTGGCCCCACAGTTAGCAGGGGCCCACTGTGTTCCTGTTCTGCAGATCCTATGTTCATGGACAGCACACCGGAGTTTCCGACGGCCCCCCAGGGCACCCCGTAGTAGGTGCACCCAGAAACCCGCAAGTGCCACCCGCCAGGGCCTCTCCCCAGACAGCTGTCCATATGGACACCAGCTTCCTGTTGCTAAGCCCTCTCCTGCCTCTGCCCTCTGTGCCCCACATTCCCCTGCCCACCTTCCTGTCCCTTCAGGCCACAGCAGCCCACTCTCCACAACCATCTGCACGGCCCTCCTCACCTCCCCAAGGCCTGTTCTCTGTGTTCAGACCGCAGTGGCATATCCATTCTCTAATGGTGGCCTCCTCTGACCACCCCAGTCTGCTGTGGCACCCCCTTATCTCCCACCGCCCAGGCGTGCTTGCTCCACTGGAATTGTTGCCGCCTGAAACATCCAGTTTATGTCACTGGGACATAAGTTTTCTCTCCCTCCTCCTCTCCCCCCGCCACTTCATCTGGGACTTAAATTTTCCAAGAGCAGTGTGGTGGATTCATACCTAACTGGCCGTCAACTTGTAACACCAGCCGAACTGAATCAGCATGGCGCTGGGTGTGGATGGCCCCCCCGAGGAAAGTCACCAGTGTAAAAAGCAGACCTGGCGAGGAAAAGCAGCGGGTTCTGTTCGGTGCTGCTGGCTCTCCTGTTGCTGTGGGCTCTCCTGGACGAGCTCGCTGAGCTTCTTCCCTGATATGATCTTGGCTGTTCTCATCGTCAGAGGAGCTCGGGGCTTTGTTGTCACTGAAAATAGCTGCGGTTCACTTTGGGGGAGCTCTGTTCCTTACTCTGCTCCTGGCTCCAGAGGGGAAGATGTGTGTTGTTCAGTCTCCAAGAGAAGTTTGCCACAATGGCTTCCTGATATAAACTCAGCTGTTCTCAGGAGTTTGGGACCTCACTGTCACTGAGGATGGCTGTGGTACTTTTTGGGGGAGCCCTGGTCCTTATTTTGAACATCACTTCTTGGCTCCAGTGCAGAACCCTCAGCCTGCTGGCACAGATCCTTCATCCGGCTGGGTTCTACCATCCACCACTGACCTTTGGGCCTTCCCAGCACAGATCCATGAAACAGACTTGCGTGAGTCATTGTCGTGGGCTCTGCGCCTCCAGCTGGACTTGTTGGGGGCACTGTCACAGGCTCTAGGTCTTCAGCTGAACTCATGCACTAAACTAAAGTCAAAATGGATCAAATTTCTAAATATTAAAACAGAAACACTAAACCTACTGAAAGAGAAAATAGGTAGAAATCTTGAAGACACAGGGATAGGCAGAGAGTTCGTGAACAAAACCCAAACTGCACAAGAAGTATTTCAAGTGATCAATAACTGGGACCTCATCTTATTGAAAAGATTTTGCACATCAAAAGAAATCTCCAACAGAGTAAAAAGAAAACTTGCAGACTGGGGAAAATTTAGCCAATTGCCCTTCAGACAAAGGACTTTTATCTAAAACATGTAGAGAATTTTTTTAAATCAGGTCACCCAAATTCAAAGACCCAATCCAAAAATGGGCATCTGACTACAATATACGAAGTTATACTCAAAGATCTCAAGGAAAGAGACAATATGGTAACTACTTTTATGTCGGGATTATCTTGTGGTGAAACACTAATTTGCTTAAATGGTTATGTTTTGATCTGCACTGTTTAGTTGTTATGCCCTCTTTTATCCCAATCTCCATTTTATTATTTACTTTTTTATTTTTATCCTTTTAATTAAAGGAAAGGTAAATTTTAAAAAAGCAGGATATATTATAGTAGCCCACTTTGATAGTCTATTAACTTGATTTGAAGCCCTGTATTGCTCTCACCATCTTGTTTTGACTGATGTTCCTCTATTCTGCTTTGCTTGATAGTACCAGGTTTGAAAGTTTAGGCAACAGCTGTGAAGATAGTGGGATTCATTATGACGCCCATTCTGGTTGGCTATTATCTACTTTTGAAGACCTGTAATGTCTCCAATGTTTTGGTTTTGTTGGTTTCGTTCTTTACTGTTTTGTTCAATTTTATTATAACTGATGATATAGGCAACTCTATTGGAGATAGCGGGAGGCATTATGGTAACCATTGTTGATCACCTTGTATAATGTTTTTACATTATCTATTATGTCCACCCTTTTGATTTAACCGACTCTGTTCAGTTAAGTCACATTTGGTTTTATTCTCTTCCAAAAAAAGTAATAAGAACTGTGGGAGCAATAAAACCCAAAATGTGTAGTAGTCATTGTACAAAAGAGAGGAAAAGAAAGTGCTCTAAATGGTATAACTGCATGTAAATTTAAGTGTATAAGATAGACAATGATATTACTGAGTTTTGTTGGATCATTGAACAGAACTGTTTGGTCTCACTGTTTGAATGTCCATTATATAAGCTTTAATTTTGTAACTTGAACAAACATTTCTAAGATGACAATATGTAATCCATTAACTAGTGATTTCCTATTGTTTATTTTTTTCTGAAATTCTGTATAACTTATACCCTTTTTCTGCTTTTTTTTCCCTTTTTCTCCTTAAATTAAAAAAAATTGGCATCTGAGATGAATACACAGTTCTCATTTGAAGAAATATAAATGGCAAATAAATACATGAAAAAAGGTTCAGCATCGTTGGTCATTTGAGAAATGCAAATTAAAACAGCACTGAGATTCCATCCCAACCCAGAAAGAATGGCTATTATTAAGAAGTCAACCAATAACAAATTCTGGAGGGGCTGTGGGAAAAAAGGAACTCTTCTCCACTGTTGGTGGGAGTGTAGACTGTGGAAATCAGTTAGCGATTTCTGAAAAACTAGGATTGAAAGTCCCAGTCAATCCAGGTATTCCCTTTCTGGGTGTTTTCCCAAAAGAACTAAAGTATCATACCACAGCTATATATGTTCACCCATGTTTATAGCAGCATAATTTGTAATAGCTAAATCTTGGAAACAACCCAAATGCCCATCCACTGAGGCATGGATAAAAAAGATGTGACCGTTCTATGCAATGAAGTACTACTCAGCTATAAAAAAGGGTAAACTTGGGCCAGGGATTTAGCTCAGCAGCATAAGCGCCTACCTAGTAAGTGTGAGGTCATGAGTTTGATCCTCAGTACCAAAAACAATAAAAAATAAAAAAGGATAAACTCAGGGGTTTTACAGGTAAATGACGACAACTCAAGACCATACGCAGAAGTGAAATAAATCAGATTCAGATGTGTAAACATCATATTGTCTCCCTAGTATAAGACAATGAAAGAGTAAATAATATACAAAACCTACAATAGATTCTGTGAAAGGGAAAGAAACTGCTCAACAAGACAAACAACCAGAATAGAAAAAAAGAGAAACAAAGGAAGGAATGTATGATCACTAACATGATACTACTAGTTTCTCTTAGTTCATTGAGGAGAACGGTTTGTGCTTAAATTGTTTGATCAGCTGTACGTGCCTGTATTTTGTAATCCAAATAGTTACTCTGAAGATAACAATACGTAATATATTAACCACTGGTAATTCCCCACTGTTATGAAATTTTGTATCATTTTGATTTTTTCTCTTAAAAATTTTTTTTAAAGTTCACAGACTAAAAATCAAACAGGCTTAAATTCAGCCTCCGCTGTGTGTTTCTGCAAACTGCTCCTCCCCTCCGTGCCTCAGTTTCCAGCTTGGAAAAGCACAGGTAATGTGAATGCCCCAGAGCTGCCGAAGGTGACAGGAGCTGGCACAGAACACCGCTGTGTGTGTCTGGAACTCACCGCTGTGGTCACACTGCTGATGCCCAAAGCTCAGCCCTTGGGCTCACACACGTCCTTCCCACCCTGCCCTGGCAAGCGCGTGTCCCCCAGCGCCTACCTGAAGGTGATGGCGTAGGAGTCCTCCATCCCTTCCTGCTTCTTTTCCCGCTTCCGGATGAGAAAGGCTCCATCTCGAGGGATCCTCATCAGCATGTCCTCTGCCTCTCCACGGCTCAGCCCATCATAGTACCACCTGTACCGGGCAGCAGAAGGGCCAGGTAAGAGCCCTCGAGGCTGTCGGCGGCCACTGCAGAGCCAAACCGTGGGCTCTGGGGAGAACCAGGATGTGGCCCCAGAAAGCCACAGGAGCCTCACATGGACCCGCCCCGCCATGGTCCCTTCCACAAACTGTGATTCTGCAAAGACCCTTGGAGGCCGAGTGGACCTGGGCAGAGGACGGGGAACAAACCCACTTATCCTCGCCCCACAGCCACTCCCAGGGGCTGCTCCCCCTCTGGGAAAATCAGGTGAATACTCTCGCGTTTGGGAGGCTTTTTTGTTGCTGTTTTTAGTTTTTTCCGATGTAAAATAGCACATTTTTATCAATCCATATAGAAAAAGGAAAATATAAAACAGTTGCTCTGACTCATTGGGCTTCTTTCAAAAAACAAACTTTAACGATCCGGTTAAAAGTGATTTCTTCATTGCCACAATGTGTTTGCCAAGCATAACGATGCTCTACATGAAGAAATGCAGGACCCTCTCCTGCCAGCCTTTTCTCTTCCTCATCCTCTAACAAGAAGTGGCGTGGACAGGCAGGAGGACAGCACAGGGCCAACACTAAACTCGGAGAGTCAAAGCTGGAGACCTCAGGACCACAAGATCAAAGCCAGGGGGCAGCAGGGAGGACAGAAGCGGGAGAGGCAGCCAAAGCCACGGCCTCCAGGGAGCTCTCAGCCTCCGGTGGACCAGGGTCAGGACAAGGTTCAGGCACGTGACCACCTGGGCATCCGCCTCCCACCCAGCCCAGGACGTACGGCTTGGACTCGTGCGGGTTGGGGTTGGGCACCGGGTCGGTGAGCCGCAGCTCGAACTCGGCGCAGCGCAGGTGTGACTCTCGGTAGTGCTGGATGAGGTCGTAGATGCTGCCGAACCTGAGGTTGTCGGTCAGGTAGTACTTCACGGCCCCGTTCTCCACGGTGGAGCGGATCAGGCAGTGCTGCACGCGGCCCGACCGCCTGCATGACAGGGCTGTCACCGGGGCCCAGCCGGGGGTGGCCAGGTGGGTGCCACAGCCAGACAGGGGGCTCCTGAGGGCTGTACTGCCTCCCCTGCCCACCTCCTTCCCCAGACAGTGACTATTGCAGGGGCCTCCTGGAGCCCTGAGATTCCCTGACCTCCATGGACCACAGGTCCCCAACAGAGACCTCAGTGCTAGCCTATAGGGGCTCAGAGAGCCATGCTGTGCACTGAAGATGGCCAATGTCTGGAGGGGACAGGGCAGGAAAGCCGGGGCCCAGGGCAGACAGTGAGGCTACAGCACACACCCACGTGACCCTGGCTTCCCGGGGCTGCACAGGCTAACACCTTGCAGGAAGGGGCCTTGAATCTTATTGGTTGGGCACCAGGAGTGGTCAGCCAATTAGAGAAGAGCTGGCTAGGCCCTGGTGCCCAAAGAGGCAGCAGTTAGGGCTCAGGATCCCCCCATGCACCAACTGGCCTCAGGATGGAGAAGCCATGCAGGAGATGTCGGCCCCAGGACAGGCAGCTTATTGAGGCAAGAGCAGCTGGTCTCCTCTTACCTGGGGCAGTTCCTCCTCCATGGCTTGCTCAATGTCGTCACTGAAGGACAGCTTGGCGTCGGCAATGGCGCAGTAGTGCCGAGTCCATTTCTAGAGAGCAAAGCTGGCATTAGCATCCCCCAAAGTCAGCTACGTCAGCTTGGGACCAGGGATCCGGCAGGGCATCACCCCAACATGCACTGGGTGTCCCCTCTCCCAGCTGATGCATTAGCGAGATTTCGTGGATTCTGCTCCCCTTGAGCCATTTCTCCTTATAAAAGATTCTATTGCTGGCTTCTTTTGTCCTTTCAGGACTTTTAAAATCAGTGGGTGCAGGAGCAGACACGACTTAATTCTGAATTTCTACCGCATATGCAACCTGCAGCCCTTTATGAAGACTGGGATTATTTGCAGCACCTTCCTGTCTTTTCCTGTTTCATCTGCTTTTTAAAGACTTTCTGAATTTTTCAGCCAGTTGGCGTCAAAGACTCTTCCTGAAACATTTAATTATAACCTAGTTAACCATTTTTGCGTATGTTTCATTGTTATATGTTTTACCCAAGATGTAAACATATACTCAACTAGATTTGCATGCCAGCCTAAGGGACAGGAGAAGGGAGTAGAGGTGGGGATGCGTTTCTCTCCTCAAAAACTAAGATTTCAGGTGAGCTCTGCCAGGCTGGGAGTCACCAGTGAGCCTGGGAAACTAAACGCACGTGGTAGTCAGCCTGGAAAAACGGCATTAGCAAAGCTGTGAGATGGGAAGGAGGCCTGTCTCCTGCTCACGGGAGTGCACACTGCCAACTCCTCTGACGGTGGCTCTGCCATGGCCACAGAGGGTGGCCCTGTCGGGGGAAGCGGGTGGAGGACACAGCATGGGTGCGAGTGCCTGTTACGGTGCCCGCAGAACTGTTTCAGAGTGACACTAAGCGTGCAGAAGAGAAAGGTGAATTTGGAGACAGCTCGCCTGGCTCCCGCAGGGTCTGAGGGGTGAGGGAGGGACCGGCCCACCTGGTCGATGGAGTCCCACATGTACAGTTCACCCTGCTGCTTGTGCTCGTCTTTCTTGTCCTCCATGTTCACATCCACGTCGCCTCGGGGGCCCAGCTTCTTATGCTAAGGAAAAAACGCACACAGGCCTCTCTTGAAACCCAAGTTTCAGGATCTTCCAGCCTGCAGGAATGCAGGGTATCGCCAGCGCCCAGCATCCAGCGCACTCTGCACCTCGGCACCTTCGCTCCACCGCTCCCTCTGCCTGGCTCCCCTCTCTCTGCCCTGGGCCCTGCACCTGGCCGCCTCCTCTGAGGAGCTCTCCCTGCCACCCAGGGCAGCCACCGAGCCACCTTCCCGGCCCTGCAGCTCTCGGCCCAGCCCTGCTTTACCTGTCTGTCTTCGGTCTTCTCTGCCTGACCCTGAGCCCCAGCAAGGCAGGGCCTTTGCTTTTCTCCTGCTGAGTGGCTGTGCCAGGTCCTTCCCCAGATGACTTCAGACTCCATGGCAGGTCCTGTGACTGAGCTGTCACAATAGGCCACGGAAGGGACACAAACATCTGGTGTCCACTTGCTCACCGGAAACAACTGGCCCTAGACAGCCCAGGATGCCCCTCCCGCAAACTGGAACTCAGAGGTGCCCGAGCCCAGCTTCACCCCAGACAAGGACAGTGCTCTAGAGCAGACAGTCCCCGCCATCCCTGTGCTGTGAAATCTAGGGAACCCTACAGGCTGGGAGCTTTCCCTCCTCGGAAAGTCGGCCATGCATACAATGATGGGGGAAGTCAGTTACACTGAAATCTGATTACTGAGATTAAATAGCATTAGAGGAATATGCTAATGGCTGTGCTTCCTCATTAGCATCTGAAATAAGACTCAGAGGCAGATCTAATAACCTTCCTAATTCCCAAGTCCTGACGAGCACAGCGTCATTTTGAAATATCTGCAACGACTGTCAGTGTGACCGGAAAATCTCCCCGACTTCGCTGCTGGCCCCCCGCCTGCTGCCAGCACCCACGATGGAAGGAAACGTCAGGTTTCACACGCAGCTTAATGAAGACAAGATGCAAGCCTTGTCCCACCGAGGCTCACATCCCCAGCCCACGAGTTCTAATCTTTGAGGTCTGCGGGACCCCAATTGAAACCCCTGCCTTGGAAGATGGTACTGCAGGACGTGAGGACCCCAGGGCCCTGAATCACCCAAGGGCCAGAGCTCAAAGGTCCTGGGACATTGCCTAAGTTCACATTTACAAACCCTGTACCTCTGGTCTCTTCATCCTGATAATACGAATTCCCTGTTGTTCCTTTGCTTGCCCCGAGCCCTGACACACCCAGGTGGCTCCCCCATTGCACAGGCAAACGTGTATTTGCATATTGCACGGGTGGATTGGTGAGGCACTTGCATGTCTGCACATCCGGCTGGTCCTCACTAACCATGGAGGCCAGAAAGTCGCCCACTACCCTGATTAGCAAACACCTGAGCTGTTCCCCTGAAGGGGAAATGCAGAGTTAGGCTCTTCTGAGCCTCTGGTCACAGCAGTTTTATCAGCCAATCAACACGTGACCTTGCTTGGTGCTCGCTTCTGTTGAAAAGCATCTTATTCAGTGGATTCGATAACATGGCACTGGCAGCCCCAGAGCTGTCACTCAGGCGTGAAGGAAGCTGACCGAACACACGCTTCCACCACCGGGAACAGCCTTCTTGTCGTGAGATGCAGGGCAGCACTTCCTGCAACGTGGCGCGGGAGATGTCGCAAAGGACCCTCATTTGCTCCACAAGAACCAAAGCCAGAAAGGCCAAGAGTAGCCCTGTGTGACACCAGCAGGGCCAGAGCACACTGGGGGACTCCGAGTACCCTGCTTTGCACACGCCCGTGGGTGACCTTGAAAGTGCTCTGCAATTTGATTTGGAGTTACAAATAAATGTCAGGGGAATTCAGGACACAGAATCCACCAATCAGAACTGACTCTATGTGTGTCTGTGTGACTGGAATACACAAGCAGGTACATGTTTATGTCCCTCATCTAAGATACTTGCATATACCTCTGTGCATGCATATATATATAATACATAGGTATGCCCACCAGCATATATGTATTTATTGACATTTATTGACATTTTCCCTGTACCGTTTTAAAGAGGCAGTGACACATCTCCTAAGAATGGGACCCTTCCTCCGTGTGACCTCATCACCATTATCAAACTGCAAAACACTGTCATTAATGCATTATCATTGAAGATACAGTCCCAGCTCGGATTTCCCCAGTTATCAGAGAAACCCGACACAAGTGAGCTTCTCCCATCTAGAACGCAGGTGAGGCTTATGCGAGTGTTTATTATGAAGCAAAATTACTTTAATGCATCTTCTGTCACTGCCCCAAACAGGAAACAACATCACTAGGTGGCAACGAAAATAAATGTGAAAAATACAGTCTTTAAGAAAACATTACTTAGCCTCAATTTGCCTCCAGACAGCCCTGGCCCCTGGCAGCCCAGGAGCTGCCAGGCTGAGCAAATGCCAGTCCTGGTCCACACAGCCCAGAGACACCCAGCAGCTAAAGCCGCAGCTGCTGCCAGGAAGTTTGGTGCCAAAATACAACAGGCAGCAGACACCAAACCGACTGTCGCCGCTAATGATCCTTTTAGATTTAATATGAATATTCACCCATTCCACTGCAAAACCGCGAATGTTAAGGGTCTCTATCACCACAGGTGCCCCATGATTCAAGAGCCCTTTCAGCCAGGAAGTTGCTCGAGCTGGGAACAGGACTAGGTCCTCTGAATGGGATCAACCCATAAGCACCTGCATCCTGGACGCCAGAGCAAACCCTGAGAGAGAAATCAGCCACCATTGGGTGCTGACCGCCCCAGAGGCCTGGAGGTCAAGGCTTGGTCCCCAGGGTGGTGTTAGGGGAGGAGGTGGGACCCCCCACCTGGCAGGGCTCTGCAGGCCATTGAGTGTGTGCCCAGGACGGACCGTAGGCGCTGGCCCCTTCCTCCTCTCGCTCCCCACCTCATGATGTGGGCAGTTTTGCTCTGCCATGAAGTAGGCTGGCCTCGGTGCCAGCCTGGACCCTCCAACACCGGGAGCACAGTGACTCTCGTCCCTGCATAGTTAACGGCCTCTGGTATTCTGTTGCAGTGACACAGCAGTGAACAGCTGGTGCAGCTGGCTTCGAAGGCCAGTGAGAGCCACCGCCAGGCCTCCTGCCAGGTGGGAAAAGTTCACACCTTTGCCGTCTCGGTGACACCTGCACCCAGCTCCAGGAATGCATGTAATAAACGCACTGCCCCTTACCATCTACCAGGAGCGGCGCTAAGCACTCAGGACGTCACCCCAACTGGACCTTACTGCAGCACAGCACTGGGAATTAACAGAGCTGGGCTCAAACTCAGGGGAGCGAGCCCAGAACCCAGGCCGAGGCCACAGAGAGCCTCCTGCCAGCCCTGGGCAATGCCCCTGGATGAGATGGCGTCCAGGGCTCTAGTGTTCAGGGGAGGGGGGAGGTGACACGTGTCTGTCTGCCCAACCTTAGCTGCTGTCCCATGAAACACCCGGAAATCAGTCAGCTGACCACGAGGTGACAAAGGCGTGGTCTCTGATGGCCTGCACGACATCGTCAAACTTGATCTTGGTGGGCCTCGTCCAGCCATGGTAATGATGGGCTTCCCGCTGGGCCCGTCCCAGCAGTCCACTAGGGGAAACTCGGCAGCCTCAGCCCCAGCAGGCGGGACCGCCCCCCTTGGCACCAGGACTCGGACTCAGGGTGGCCACCACAAGCACACAGGTGTCCCTGTGCAGGTGTGGCCACTGGGGTGCTGACACCACGGGACACGTTTCCCCCCCAGACACGCGCGCTGCCGTGGTAATCAGATACTCACTGTGAGTATGAGTTCAGCTGCTTACACCCTGGGGGCCTTTTTCACCAGTGGCGATGACACACAGAAAGGAGAGCTGATTTAAAAGTCTGGGGGAAGAATTTAGACAGAAACCGATGGTGGGGAACCACCCGGGTTTCACCCCCAGAGGAAGCAGGAGCTGCCAGTTTCTCACTCGTGTTGCACACTTGCTTCTCCCGAGGGAGAATGCACAAGTGAGGGGGGCAGTGGAATAGCTGCTGCCCAGCAGGACTCCAGGACACCACTCCAGGTTTAGGGAGCTCAGGAGCCCGGAATAACCAACCTCTGGAAAACGCAGAATCCATCGCCCTCTTGTGGGCAGGCTCGGTGGTGCATGCTTGGAGTCAGCACTCAAAGCTGAGGCAGGAGGCCCACAAGTTCGAACCCGTCCTGGGTTTATAGTAAGACTTTGTCTCAAAGTACAAAAAGATCGTTAAAGGGTTGGACGTAGCTCAGTTCTCTAAGTTACCCAGTTTGTGCTCAAATGTGTGATGCTCCCGCCTCAGCCTCCCAGAGTGCTGAGTTTACAGGCGTGGGCAACCCTGTCGGGCTGCAGGGAAACCACTTGAGCAAATCACAAGCATCCTTTCTTAAAGTTTTTGTTTTGCGGGAGTTTTTTGGTTTGTTTGTTTGTTTGCTTGTTTGGTATCGGGGATTGAGCTCACAACGTCATGCTTGCCAAGCAGGCACTTATGCCACTCAACTAAACCCCAGCCCTGTTTTTGTCTTTCTGAGACAGGGTCTCGCTATGCAGTTCAGGCTGGTCTTGAGCTCACTTTGTAGCCCAGGCTGGCCTCGAACTCGCAGCGATCCTCCCGTCTCAGCCTCCCAAGTGCACCACCACACCCGACTCTTAAAACTTTTGTTTTAACCGCATACAGCCAAGGTGCTTCCAAAAAAAATTGTACTAGTCTGCAGACCAAGAGCTGCGATGGGCTTCGCCCGTGAGCACCCGTCACCCCCAAAGGCCAGGGGGATGTTCAGCAGCTTCCCTGGACTTTATTCCGGGCCGGAGCTGGCCTGTAAGGGCCCCCCTCCGGCTCAGTGCGGGCGGGGTGCTGTGAGTCGCCCTGCAATAATGTTCGCCGCCGCCAGGTGGCGCCAGGCCTGCCTCTCAGGTCCGCCCGCAGGCGGCTCCCGGGAGTGAGCTGCGCACTCGCCTGCAAAGCGGGGTTGCATGCACAGGAGCCCACGGCGGGGGCAAGAAAAGACAGCCGTCTCCTCGTTTCCCGGGACAGCCTGGCGCCCCCAGGACGCGCCGCAGCCCCGTCCCTCCTCCCCGGCCCCGCGGCGACTTCCTCGGCAGCCATGACCTCGGCTAGGGCGCTGCGGGTGGGCAGGAGTGCGCCGCGGTCCCCACCCAGGAGAGAGACTGAGGACCCCGCGGGCCGAAGGGACCGGCCCGGGGCTCATTAGACTCCCGCTGTGCAGGAAGGGGCGAGTAGCTGGGAGAGCGCGACTGCGGGGGGCGGGGTGGGGGGATCGGGCTGCAAATCTGCTCTCTAACCCGGGTGACACGTGCAGGGGCTGACGAGCCCCGCCCGGCAACTTTGGTGTCTGAAATGGCCAGCCACGGGGTTTTGAAAAGTAACTTAGTTTTTGCGCATACTAAATGTTGTGAAAATGTAAAGTTTCATTTCTATTTATTTATTTAGAAATAAGATCTTGCCAGGTTGCCCAGCCTAGGCTCAAACTTGCAATTCTCCTGCCTCAGCCTCCTAGAGTGTTGGAAATACAGGTATGTCTCACCATGCCCAATTTAAAGTCTATAGAAACAAAAATGTAATTAATGAGAAAAAATCACTGAGACTCCAGTGCTGTAAAGGGGAATTTTAAATACAAGCGAGTGTCTATGTACACACAGGCTTCTCTGACCCCCACAGTTCTGACAAGTGGGGGCTCTGGGCACATTTCATCGGGAAGAAACTGGGCACAGAAAGGCTAAGCTAGCTGCCCAAGGCCACACAGCTAGGCCTTAAGAGGCTAGTGGGTTTCACCGGCTGCTACCCAGCTGCTCCTCCACCACACCAGTGACTGGAGGCTTGGGCCCTGCCCTGTGGGGCGAGGATCTTCCTGCCCTCTGCCGGCCAGATGCTGGGTGCACCCTGTGCAGCAACTGTCCGGTGTCTTTGGGGGACATCACCCTGATAGACACCAGCACCCGCCTCAGACCCCAGAGCCCAGGGGCACAGAAGTCCAGGGAGATGGTCCCCAAGTCGCTTGAGGACAGCCCTGCCGTCTCATCCCTAGAGGACCCAGCAGGCTCAGCCGGCAGAGTCCCACCTCCATGAGCAGGGAGGCTTCCCAGGAACAGACTCATCCTGGGGTGACTCGAGAGAATGACCACCACCTAGGGGCAAGGGGCAGCGCCCCAGTGTGATCCCGAGCCTCCCTGCTGCTCCCCTTCCTCGGCCTTGAAGGGCCCCAGAAAGCTGCACTTTGGGGGCTGTGAGGTGGCTTTCAGGGCTTTCAACAACCACGGAACCCCAGGCCCACACTGAGTGACTCCCAAGACGCCGGGGCCCAGCGTCAGGAGGGCGCCTGGCCTGAGTAGACAGCTCCATCCAGGACACAGCCAGGACCCTGCAGAGGGCTGGAGCTGCCCAGGAAGGGGACTGTCCAGAGCACAGCGGAGTGCAGAAGACCCTTTAACCCAGCTCAGCAGCTTTGGCCTCTGCTAAACCCATCCTGCAGCGCTGGCTCTAAGATGTCACCACTGTCTCCATGGCCGAGCGCCTGGGGAGGCTGCCTGACACCCGGTGTCACTCACCCAGCTCAGCCCACACAGCCAGGCCCTTCCCAGACTCCTCTGCCCATCCGCACCAGCAGTGCTAGGGAGAAACCCGTGAACTCCTCAAGCCCAGGCGCGCAGTCAGGAAGGAGACCCTGAGCCCTGAACCCCGAGGACCCCAGCACTCTGCAGCCCGGTGCTGCCGTCCCAAACCCAGCCCAGGCTCAAGACTGTGTCCCTGTGGAGGCCAGAGATAGCCCCACCCAGAAGCCACTGGTCACAGGATACGGCCGTCCTGAAGGCAGCAGCCAGAGGGTCCTCACCCCAGGATGAACACGGAGGAATCCTTCTTGAATTCATCAAGAATCTGAAATGGAAAACACACACAAAATAAGAATATTAGACAAGCTGAGTAAAGCGGTGAGGAGACCTGCTCATCAGACAGTTACCAACATTGTTCCTGTGAGCGGTGAATAGTCCAATGTAACAGAGACTTCCAGTGTGAGGGGCAGGTGTCCCCTCTGCAGGTGTCGCCCTTCTCAGTCTGATTCCTGGGATGCAGCCGCTCTTAATACTTTCCTAGGCTCTTCGAGAGGCCTGTTTGTGGACAGGCACTCAGCTACATTTTGCCTTGGTTTATCATGTCACATTCATCTCTTTCTGATTCTGTTTCCAGCCCTGTACACTCTTCTGCAGCCTCAAGCAGCCCTGCTTCCCTGCTTTGAAAAGCCACATTGTGTCACTGTATGGATGCCATTCAGGTTCCCGCTACAATGTCCCACATGATGACAAAAATCCGTGCCCACCTGACAGAGCTTTATGGGACACCCGCCTATGGCAAAGGCCCCCAACATGGGGTCTGCACCCGCACTTCCAAGCCTCTGCCAAGCTGCTCGGAAACAGCTGCCGGTTGAGACAAGAGGTGCAGCTGTAATGCCAGCACCATGGGAGGCTGAGGCAGGAGGGTCATGCATTTGAGGTCAGCTGGGCGACTTAATGCGGCTCTGACTCAAAAACAGTGTTTTCAAGCCGGGTGTGGTGGCTCATGCCTGTAATCCCAGCACTCAGGAGGCTGAGGTGGGAGGATTGTTGTGAGTTCGAGACCAGCCTGGGCTACAAAGCTCAAGACCAGCCTGAACTGCATAGCAAGACCCCATCTCAAAAAAGACAAAAAAAAAAAAAAAAAAACAGTGTTTTCAAGGGCTGGGAATGTAGCTCAGTGGTGAGTGCCTGCCTGTTTGTATGAGGCCCTGTGTTCAGTTCTTGTGAGATGCAAGAATGGACGGGCAGACAGATGGAAGGTGTCTCCGTGACACCTTTTCTCATCATGGAGACACAGTATCCAATCCCCAGAACTTACAGGAGAGGGTAATTTTGGCTGAGGCTTGCAGAGGTTTCAGCCCATAGTCAGCTGGCTCCAAGGCAGGGCCGCACGTGGCAGCAGGAAGCAGAACTCCGGGGAGGAGTGGGGGACACAGACCGTGGCCAGCCCCTGCGACCCTCTCTTCCCACCCAGCTGCTCGCCCAGCCTCACACCCAGCAGTGGACTCATCCAGTAGCTAAGCCCGGACCCAGTGTCACACACCGTGATCCACTCACCCCAGAAAGCCCACCTAGGAGCACGGGAGGCTTTCTGGGACGTTTTAACTACAAACTGTAACAGAAGGAAAGGGAAGGGAGGACAGAGGACAAGAGGAAGGAGCCAGCTGCCCAGACAGGCGCCCCGCCAGAACACGCCTTTCCTGCCCTCTCTGCTATAGGTCAAACCCACAGGAGGTCTTCAGATTCCACAGGAAGGAAGGAAGACCCTTCCCGGTTGGCCTGCTGCACAACCTCAAGAGCTAAGGGACACGGCTTTCCCAGAATCTGCACACACCAGCTCACCTGCGGAACACTGTGTGCACACGGATGCACATGCACACGTTATCTGTTCCCTGTTCATTTTCGACACCGAGACTGTGAAATTATCTCAATCATGGGGCAAAGATGGCAGTGCAGCTATGGGCACGTGACAGACGCTGATGACAGGAGACAGTGCCTGCTGCAGTGGCTGGACCCTCCTGGGAGCCCCTGAGGGTGCGGGGATAATGTGCAGAATTATCTGGGACCCGGCCAGGATCCCCAATGCCTGAATGAAGGGTATAGTGAAGATAAGAGCCGAGTGTGGTGGTACACACCGGGAGGCTGAGGCAGGACTGGAGGTTCAACATAGCAGCTCAGCCAGACCCCGGTTCTAAAACTGTAAAGGCTGGGGATCCGGGTGAGCGACAAGGTCCTGGGTTCAGTCCCAGCCCCAAGCCCCTCCCCTCCCCCCAAAAAGAACAGAAAGAATGAATTTCTCTGGGAGTTAAGGGTTTAATCTTCGGGGAAGCTGGGCCATGGAGGTGGAGGAAGTGACAGACTCGGGACGACTCCACGTCCTGCCGTGGCGGCTCATATCGCTGGCTTCTTTGTTTCCCTTCCAGTCGGAGCGGGAGCACTCCTCCACTTCCTGCTAAGCCTCGGGAGGAGCAGGGAGGCAGCTGGACCCCAAAGGCGTGCTCCGCCTGCAGAGCAAGACCCCGAGTCCCTGGAGACAGGGCCCCTGGCTCCTGAGCCCAGCTTGGCCCGCCACGGTCTGAGGAGGCGCTGACCAGCTCTGGGCCTGCTTCCCACCCAGCCCCTGAGCCACAGCGCCACCATCTGCCCGCTGGGAAGAAAGCACCGCCCGAGCGCGGTGAAGGCCTCTTTCCCTGTCGGAGTTCAGCATCCTGGCGTGTCTGCTCATTACTCCCGGGTCTGGCTCTGGGAGGCAGCGCCCATCCCAGAGGTTCTCCGAATAGATTTGCCCATCTTAGAATGGCACTGAACTACACGTGTGCGAGTAGCAGGTTTATCCACTTGATGACCTTACGTTGGATGTGCTGAAGCCTAAACACAAGCCGGAGTGGGGGGGGGCGCAGGGCCAAATGTGAGGCCTGGTCGCCAGGGTTTGTGATTCCTGGTCCTGGTTGACCCCAGGGCAGGAGGCGGGTGGGTGCTGTCCGGAGGAGGTGTTGCCACGGCTCTGCTTTCAGAGCCCAGGACACCTGGGCCACAAGTGTCCCCAGTGGAGCTGGGGTCCCTCTGCAGGAGGGGGATCATGGAAGCCATTCTACGATGGGCAAATCTATTCTGAGAACCTCTGGGATAGGCGCTGCCCTCCCGTGCTTTGGCTGCTCCTTCCCGCCATGCTCGGCAAAGTCACCACCATGGCCCTGAGAGGCCGCCTAGACCGCGGAGGAGTCCCGCGGCCCCGACCTAGCTGGAAGACGTTAACCCAGACCTCAGTGGAGTTGAGTTCCAACCCAGGGTGGAATTGGATTTGCACCAATCACTAGGCGTGATTCAGAAGCTTTGTGTCTTCTGGACGAATTGGGACTACTGTAGTAGACGGCTTATGTTTGGACCAATCAGCACTCTAATATGGATGAACCGGGACCAATCACACACCTGCAGCTGCCTCGTTAGAGAGAAGGGCACGGCCTGCGGGTGCGGTCTGTGAGGCCCTTGCCTCGGCTGGGCACTGGTCCAGGTACTGCTGGCCTGGCCTGCTCGCTGGATGGGAGGCCGACAGGTACCTAAGTCTTGGGGGTTGGAGGGGAACCTGGGACCTCCCTGTCCCACTCCGTGCCCTGCTTAACTCAGTCTGGTTGTGTGGGCGCCTGCAGGAGGAGGCCGGGCCTCTGCAGATGATCCCGAAGCCTCGGGAGCGGCCTGCATCGGAGACACTCCGCGCAGAGCCGGCTGTTCTGAGCTCTCTATGGGACGCTTGTCTGCGTGTGGTGGGTCAGGCCAGGAGGGCTGGGTTGGGTCCTGGTCCCGCAGCTGGGGGAGGGGCCAGCCCTAGGCCTCTCTGAGGATGGCGCCCCCCTGCTTTGTGTCCCCGCATTGACCTTCAGAAGATTCCTCTCGGGGCCCACGGGGCTGTGGGGCGCAGTGAGGACAGGCCTGTGCCCAGGGCCGCAGAGCTTGACCTGTGCTGTGGATCCTGCCCACAGCCACCTCCCTGTCCCCCAACCACTGCGGCAGGTTTCCTAGCAGCTTTGCAGTGAACCCCTCCAGCTGGAAACAACCCGAAAGCACACTAGGCCCGGTGCCCCTGTGTGTGTGGGGGGGGGGGGCAGGAAGGTCCTCAGCCGTTGCTCAGGGATGGAGCCTGGGCGGGGAGGAATAGATGACAAAGGAGCCTGAGGAAATGCCAGGTTGTCAGGATTGTTCATTTTGTGATTGTGGTGAAGGGAAGGGGCTGCGGTAAGAATCTATTAACCCCCCTATCAACATGCATTAAACTCACCTTTCTTTTTTTTTTTATCGGTATCAGGGAATGAACTCACGACCGCCTGCTTGCAAGGCAGGTCCTTATGCCACTAAGCTAAATCCCCAGCCCCTGTCTTTTTCCTTTTTATCGGTACCGGGGATCGAACACACAACTGCCTGCTTCCAAGGCAGGCGCTTATGCCGCTGAGCTAAACCTCCAGCCCCAAACTCACCTTTCTTAATTACAAGACAACCACAATGGGCCAGGGATTTAGGAAGGGGCACAAGCACCTGTCTGGCAAGCACAGTGTCACAAGTTCAATACCAAGTACAAAAAAAAAGACAAAGCACAGGGAGCTTTATGCCAAGAAGTCTGCAGACTCTTCCTAAGAATGGCCGTCTACCCAGGGCTGCACCGGCCTCTGGTTTGGAACTTCAAGCCTGAACCTCCCCTGTGCTTTTCTCCCCCACCCTACGGGCTGAGCAGGTGGTCCTCCCCACAGGATAGCCAACTGGATGCCACTCCTCTCCCAGAATCTACTTCCCCAGCCTCCCTGTTGGGGCACAATTACAATGTAAGAACACGTTTATGAAAGAATACACTTATTTCATGATACAGGTCTCCGCCCGAGTTTCTGCTGAATTCAACTGACCCTGACAGCGTCTACAGCTCAGCTGCACAACTCTGATGACCACTGAGTCACAGTAACTGTCTGGAGCTTACAGCAGCCAGCGCTAATCAAGGACAGCTTTAACTCTGCTCACTCCATCAGGGCCCTCTACCCTTGTTCCTGGAGTGTTTCTATATTTTGATAAGCAGTTCCTCTATTTCAACAAAATCTGTTCAAGACCAGCCCACCTGTCATGACGCAGTGACTAATTATGTAACAGTATGTGGCTTGCTTTGTACCTTTCACTTCTAAATTCTGTGTAAACTAAGCTGTCTGTAAACTCTGAGTTGTTGCCTCTGATGAACTGTCCTGCAACAGTCCACTGGTGCAAAGATTCAACAGTCTTTCAGCGTAAAGATTAAATGTTGCTTTCTCATCTCCTCAGTGCAGAGTCTTCCTTTCAGTTTGGCTTTGGAATGTTCCCACAACATCACCACATGTGCACACATTAAACTTACATCATTTATCACATTTAAACAATAAACAGGTAAGTCCATGGCTGTATTTTAATTTCAATATCCTGCTGTCTGGAATCGATTCAAAGAAGAAATAATCCAGTAAAGTCTCAGAAGGCTGCACAAAATGCAGATAGCACTACACATGAGCTGGACCCAGCGACCCCTGAAGGACGCCATCCACTCTAGCAGCTGCAGGGTCACAGGCACTCGGGGGCATTTGGACTGTGCCCTATGGCCACATGCTGCTCAGTAAACTTACGTCTGGAGGACTGACTGGAGACCAAGCTCTCCAACCACGGGAGAATAAACTACAAATAAGTGGCAAAGAGACTGTAATCCCAGCACTGGCCGAAGCAGGAGGATGACTGTGAGTTCAGTCCGCTGGTATGAAGATTAAATGCTGCCTTCTTACCTCCTCAGAGTGAAGACTTGGGAATTTTCTCACAAGAAAACAGTAATATCAGTCTATATTTGACTTGTCAAAATGGTCACGCAACCAAATGGAATGATCTAATTTTAGAACTAAGTCCAAAATATAGTGAGGATCTTGACAGGAGAAGACCTATTGAACAGAGTGCTGGCACTGTATCCAGTGTTGGCAATACTTGTAACAGACGAAGTGCTGTAAGATGTGAAATACACAAATGCTGAAATGCAAGTAAAATGTTTTGAATGCGCCAATAGTTATACTCAAAAATGTATTTATCATGACCCCTCGCTAGCTGAAATCACAGCACTCATACGTCTGCTGTACTTACCAGGCCTTCTCATGGGATCACAGAAAAGTAAAAGACTTATGGGAAAGCAGCTGATATGAGCTTGATGATGGGAGAATAATGATGACACTGAGGGCATTTGGTTTCCTTCATAGCTGCCTGAGGGTTGATGGTAAAACCACCTGCCAAGAAAGAAAAAGAACTGATAATCTGTTTCCTCTCTGCTCATTGTTGGAGAGGTGTGTGGGTGATCAAGCAATTTACACCCCATCTGAATACATGTGTAATGGTGGGCATCTTGCAACATTCCATGGTCACCATAGGTTCAGAAAAAATATTTGCAAACACTTCTAAAATATGGCATAAAACTTACACCGTTGTAGATGCAAAGACATATTATTGTCTTTTTTGAGACAGAATCTTGCTGTGTAGCCCAGGCTGGCCTCAAACTCAACAGTCCTCCTGCCTCAGCCTCCTGAGTGCTGGGATAGAAGTGTGTGCCACCACTGCTGGCCTTACTATGCCTTAAATGTGGAAATTTATCCTGGCCACCAGTTCCTTATTCATATAGTAATAAACCAAATTATGTTGTGAGCAGACTTGTTGTTCCCATCTCTTAAACTAATCAAAATGTGACATTTGACAATTGATTTACCAACTTCCAATGATGCTACATTTGCTAACAGCACAGATTGAACAGCGTGGGAACTATATGCATTAAAAAAGCAGAAATTCCAAATTAAATGTTGCAATTTCAAAACAGAGAATTGTATACTACAGTCTTTGGATTTTAAAAAGATATTGCTACAGACAGCTGAGTTAGAAATATTAGAGGCAGAGTGGGCCTGGTGGCACACTCTTGTAATCCCAGCACTCAGGAGGCTGAGGCAGGCAGATGGTTACAAGCTCAAGACGAGCCTGGGCTACAAAAGGAGCCCAAAGATAGCCTGAACCACATAGTGAGACCCTAAAAAATATATACATGTTAGGCAGTCAGGGCTGGCGCTTGAAGAAGCCAGTGCAGAAGACTAGATATCTTCTAACCTTGAAGGAGTCAGACACCTCCCACTGTGGGCCAGACCTCAAGACAAAAGATCAAACAAATACACCCACATCCCAAGGACTGATATTCTTAATAGGTATGGACCACCCTGAGGAAGCCAGGAGTCACCATCCCAACCCCCTACAGGAAGAGTCACTGCTCCTTAAGCATGCCAGCTTGCTACGAGACTCACTTCCCCTTTTGTCCCGTTCAGTCCATTTTACCTGAGCAACTAATCTTACTGGTTGACCACAGTTCTGTCCCACCTCGTGCCCGCCTGCCTTGTGAGTTCCCATGATTTTCCCACTTCGTGGTTTAGCTCTATAAAAAATCCCCGGAAAATGCAATATCCTTGGCAACCTGCTCGGGACCTCTTCTGTCTTTCTCCCAGACAAAAGCTTCCTTTCTCTCAATGAATATATTCTGCTCTTAACCTCTATTGTTTCTAAAATTCATTCTTTGATTTTAGAGAACATGAACTCCTTCCAGGAAAGGTTTCTGCCCTAGTGTAAATTACTGGACCTTATGGTGGTGTCTAACATGGGGGAAGGCCAGAACAAAAATGATGCTTACCCTGACGACCACTCCTCCTTCCTCTGCAGTCCTGACTGCAACTTCCTCTTTCCTTTCAGGCCCACAAAAAGAGAATTCCAGCCAGTTCCTTGCACTTTATCAATGCCCGCCCCAAGTGCCACTTTCAGCCTGAGGTCACATAACCCTCAGCACCCCTGTATCCAGCAGAGGAGAAAGCCCAACCCCATGAGTTGTGTGCTCTTCTCCTGGTCCTCAATAAAGGTGTTTTCTTTCCTTTTGCTTCTCTATTGCACCAGGAAACCCTAACATACAGGACATCTAGTAGCTTGGGAGTTTCGTCCCTTTGTACCAGTATGACATTGGCCTCGTATATGGCAAAGGAAAGCAAGCTGGTGCTGGTGCTGTCAACATCACGCCATGGGTGTAGAAGCTAAGTGAGGTAGAAATATTGTGGGCAATCACACAGGGCTGGGCCCTCACAAGGTCAATGCAGAGGACTGTGAAGGGGGCTTATCATTGATGGACTTTGAGAGGAACTGCTCAGCCATGCACTTACCCTGGGATGAACAGCAGTGACTGATATTCTAAGTGGATGTCAATCACCTTGGGGTTGGGACCAAACCCCCTCACCCACTCCTTCCAGGAAAGTCCTTGTCTGCCCATTCAGGCTTGCTGTGTCATTTGATTTCCATCTGATCCCCATTTAGTCAGCATTACCCAAGTGACTATACTTGTAATCTTATTGGTTGATCATAGTTTCGGTCCCACCTCATGCCCTTCCTGTGATTTTTCCATTGGCTCAGTATTACCCAAGTGACTATACTTGTAATCTTATTGGTTGACCATAGTTTTTTGTCCCACCTCATGCCCTTCCTTTGATTTTTCCATTGGCTCAGTATTACCCAAGTGACTATGCTTGTATTCTTATTGGTTGACAATAGTTTTGTCCCACCTCTCACCCTTCCTGTGATTTTTCCATTGGATCAATATTACCTAAGCAACTATACTTGTAATCTTATTGATTATAGTTCTGTTCCACCTGGAACCTGCCTTATCTGGTGGCTTTTATCAATAAACGCTGAGAGGCACGGTTGGTAAGGCAACCCACATTCTAGGGCCCCATTCAGTCTCTCTCTTCCTTTCAGTAAACTCTTTCTATTCTTAAACTGATTGTTCCTAGAGTTCATGCAATTTTAGAGAACATGAACTCAGTGTTTTGGACCCCTAGCAGGTTGGGAGTTTCCTTCCTCTGTGTTCCCATGTTGGAAATATTGATAGGGAAACCTAAACAGAAGGCTGAGATGGAGACTTTCTACAACAAAGCCAAAGGTGAAGTAGATGTTGTTGATGAGTTAGGCAGAAACTATGATATCATTTGAAACCCAAATGTGGCCACTGGTTGTTTTACTCAACCCTACACGTGTGGCATAAATAGTTTGACAGTTTACAAAGAAAACAAGTGCCAAATGTCATGGAGAAATTTTCTTAGCGGATTGGGACTGGAGCTCATAGGAAATCATTTATAACAGAGATAAAACAAAATATTTCTGCCCAGTGAAGTATGCAAAAAAAATTGTGGATCACCCTGCTGCTCTGACAGGTGACCAGGCAGGCACAGCATCACAAAGACCTACTAGGTCAACAGGAAAACCAAAAAGATGTCGACTGTGCCTACAGGGGGGGACATGAAAGCAAAATGTGTGTGCCATCAGTGTAACCAGCACTCGTGTATGGAACATGCCATTGTCATGTGTGAAGACCACCTTGAGTGTGACAGTTGAAGCAGAGATTATTTCTGTGGTAGACTTTTATTTATATTTACACTGAAGTTTACAAAACTTTTTCATAACAAGTTTTTATTTCTGATGTTGTCTTTTAGGTTTTGTAAGCAGATACACAGCTGATGTGAAAATGTCGATGCCTATTCTTAGCACTCAATATATATTTGATATTTTATTTTACTGTTATCTTATTTTCTTGCTATATACACATTGCACAGAATAGAGGGAAACTCCTGACAAAACAGGAAGATGAGAGGTGACAAGAATGGCTTGCCACGTGTGCTGTCAGTGAGAGACGTGTGCATGGAACATGCCGTCGTCACACGTGAGGGCTGCCTTGACTGTGACAGTTGAAGCAAAGCTTATTTGGGGGGTGGCATTCTATTGGTATTTTCATTGTAGTGCACATAGGAATTTATTTCTGATGTTATCTTTTAGGTTTTGCTGGTTTTGGTTTCGAAACAAGAGTCTTGGTGTATATCCCAGGCTGGCCTCAAACTCATGGCCATCCTCCTGCCTCAGCATCCTGAGTGCTGCAATGCCAGGCATGCACCACTGTGCCCAGCCTCGATATGGTTTTGTAAGCAAGTACACAGCTGATGTGAAAATGTGGATGTTTACTCTAAACACGCAATGCATATGTCTTAGTTACTTTTTACTTGTTGCTGAGACAAAATATCGGATACCCAAAGTTGGGAAAGGAAAGGTTTATTTCTTACAGTTTTGGGAGGTTTCAGTCCATATTCTGTTGGCTCCAAGGCAGGGTGGCATGGTGGGGCCACAGTTCATGGCAGCTGCAAAAAGCAAGGCAGAAACCGAGGAGAGAGCAAGACACGCCTTCTTTATGCCATTACATCACATCCTGGCCCCACCCCTTTGAGGGCATAGCACTCACTTTCCCAGTCCAAGAGCTAGACAATGAACCAATCACAAATGCATAATGTAAAGGCGTGAGGCCTGGGGGCCACCGGCATAAACCATGACAACATATTAAGAATTTATTGATATTTCATGTTTAACTACACAATGTATAATAAGAAACTACTGACAAAACTGCAAGACCAGCAAGATGTCAAGTAAGTCCTACAAAAAGATCAGGAAGCAAAACATACGTGCTGGCCGTGTAAGTGATACTCGCATAGGGACTGTTCGATTGTCATGTGTAAAAACTGCCTTGGGCGTGATAATTGAAGTAAAGACTTTTTATCGCAGAGTTCTATTGCTACTTTCATTGTCCTTCACATAGGAATTTATTTCTGCTTTTGGGGATTTTGTTTTCAGTGTTTTTTTTTTTTTTGTGTGTGTGTGTAGTCCAGGATGGCCTTGAACTCGTGGGGATCCTCCTGCCTCAGCCTCTTAAATGCTGGGATTACAGGTGTGCACCACCAGGCCCAGCTCCTATTTTTTTTTAGAATTTGTACACCAAAAAAGTTGATGTTCAAAAATTTTATGCTTTTTTTTTTTGTCTTTTTCATTTTTATCCGTCCTGGGGATTGAACTCAGGACTGCCTGCTTGCAAGGCAAGTGCTTATGCCACTGAGCTAAATTCCCAGCCCCTGAAAATTTTATGCTTTTTTTATAAACTCAGTAATAATAAAAATTCAATTTTTTTAATTTTTTTGTTAAGTATTCATTGTCTTATTTTTATTTTTTAATTGTTTGTCTTTTTTTTTTTTTTTTTTTTTTTTTTTTTTTTTTTTGAGACAGGGTCTCACTATGCAGTTCTGGCCTTGAATTCACTTTGTAATCCAGACTAGTCTTGAATTCACAACGATCCTCCTGCCTCAGCCTCCTGAGTGCTGGGATTACAGGTGTGTGCCACCACATCCGGCTGTCACTGTTTAACAAAAACTCAGAAAATTAAAAATTCAACAGAACTATTCTAAAGAATAAAATATGGGTATTATACACCCATAATAATGTGCCTTTATGACAAGATTTTCATGATGCCCCATAGGCTACAAGGATGAGTGTTGAGATTTTGCCTGTAAAGAACCTAGATCATTTCATTTATTCCCCTGCCAAATTTTTGCTTGGCCTTGACCTTAATTTGCCGCATTTCCTTGATTACAAGCCCAAAGGTGACATCTGAATAAGAACAAACATCTTCACTGTGCTCTTGCAAACCATAGCGTTCTCATGTCTATGCTGTCACTTCTGACATAAGTAGAGAAGGGCCGCGTCCTACCTCAGCCTTCCTAAGGGTACTGTAACTGGAGGGTGACACCATCACCCTCCATTGGTCTATAGGGGGAGGTACAAACGTCCTTGGGGCTAAGACAGCTGCGCAGTAGCGCACAGAGTGGGAAGGCTGCTTGCTTACCAAAACACCCCTGTTACCCAGCGGTACCGGGCACGTGTTATAATGCATGGGGAAGGGACTGTCAACTCAAGGTCCGCTCTCCAGTGGACGCGCACGAACCTCTTCTGGGGAATGCGACCAGAGCATTCATTTGATCGGATCCAGAGAAAAGGAAGTGGCCGACTGGAGCCATCCCAAAGCGTCATGCCCCACCATGCTCCTCGGCCGCACCAGGCGCTTCCGGGAATCTGCCAGTTAGTCGAGCCGGAAGCGGAACTGGGTTTCCGGAAGTGACGCACTTTTGGCGCGCCGGGCTGCGCCGCAAACGCGCGCTTTCGGCCAGGGGCCGGGTTCTTGTGTTGTCTAGGCGCAGGCTGTCACCCGGCGCAATGGGCAAGAAGGGTAAGGAGAAGAAGAAGGGCCGCGGAGCGGAGAAAACGGCCGCCAAGATGGAGAAGAAGATGTCCAAGCGCTCGCGGAAGGAGGAGGTGAGTGGGATCCGGTGTTTGACTGGCCGGGTCCGACTTCTGGACGTCGCGGCAGGGCGGCCGCGGGGCGCGGAGAGCGGAGCCGGCCCGGCCGCCCTCTTCCCACCCTGCACGGCCCGCCAGTCCCAAGCCGCGCTCGCCGTGAGCCCAAGACCCCTTAAAGAACGGTCCTGTTATCGGCGCGGGCTTTTCCCTGTCCTGGATCCAGGGCGCTTCTGAGCGTTCCTCCTTTGCTTGCTTCCCTTTCTGCTCGGAGGCAGGTGGCGGGCCGCGGTTAATGTGGAGGACCCAAGGGTGAGGGTCGGCTCCTTGGCAAGGTGTGCGGTTTAGGGACGGAGGCCCTGGACTCCTCCGATCCTCTCTAAAGAGGACGGAGAAACCTCCCAGCCTCCTTGGGGAGAGAGCGACAGGGAAGTGAAATACTGAAGGAAGCCATTGACACGGTTGACGGTGACCCGCGCCGTCGCGTCTTCCTGTCCCCTCTCTCTTCCCTTCCTTCAGACCTGCGGTAGTCAGTGCTGACCTAAGGTTGGAGCGTGGCCCCTTCTGCGGCTGCTGCTCGCCGGCCTCTCTCAGCGGGGCGATCCTGATGGCCCGAGTTTGCAGTTTGCAGTGTGCTGGTCCCCGCGCGGTCTGTGCTTTTGTCCTCACAATAGTGGGAGTTAGGTCGTTGGCCGGAGGGGAAGACGGAGACTAACAGGTTACACAGCTCAGAGTCATACAACCCTGATGTCACGTGCAGTTGGGTCTAACCACGTGTCCCTAACCCAGAGCTCTTGGCCACATTCCTGTGCCCGCTTTTCCTAAGTCACTCATCTGCCCTCTTCCTTACCTGTGTAATAATGGGATTGGGCTTTTCTTTTGAAGTCTTTGATTTGCAGTAGGCTGTAAGTTTCCAAGGTTCTTGACCAGGTAAAGGCACAGACTCTGCAGCCAGACTCTGAGATTGAACTGCCTCCACTGTGAGCCGCTGGGTGACCTCAGAGGAGCAGATCCTGCTCTCGGCTGGTAGTGCAGGAAGTCAGTTCAGCTGTGTGGCATCCGAAGAACAGCTTGGCACAAAGAAGGCACTCAGCAACTAAATGTGAACTATCATTTTTCCTTATCTTCACAACTCCCACGGGGCCTGGTTCTTATTCTCTGAACAGAGGCTTCCTCAAAGAAAGCGAGCGTGTCTGGCCTGGGATGTTATGTACTGTCTTGATCCCCTCTCAGAAAAGCCTTTAGATTCACTGCTGCTCTGATTAAGCACACTCACTCTGCCTGTCTCTGTCTCTGTCTCTGTCTCTGTCTCTGTCTCTGTCTCTCTCTTTGTGTGTGTGTGTGTGTGTGTGTGTGTGTGTGTGTGTTGAGACAGTATCTCACTGTAGCCCAGGCTGGCCTTGAACTCAAGGCAATGCTTCTGCTTTCCAAGTGCTGGAATCACAGGCATGTGCCACCAGAACTGGCTTCTCCTTTTTCCAAGTCAGTTGTGTCACATAACACAGCCTAATCATGGGAGTGATAGCCCTTTGTTTCCGAGTCCTGGGGATGATTGGGGTGCAGAAGGAATCTAATCTTCTTTTCTTTCCTTTTGAGATGGATCTTACTATGTAATCCAGGCTGGCTTGAACTCATTATGTAGCCCAGACTGGCCTCAAAGTCATGGCCTCCTGCGTCAGCCTCTCACGTTAGGTTTACAGCCAGGCATCCTAGTCCGGAGAAATTTGTTCAGCGTGGAAGATGGGAGGCTGCTTCATAACTGGCAGGAAGCAGAAGAGACGACATTCAGGTGCTGAGCTCCCCTGATGAGTGATGGCTGTCTCTCCTCTACCCCTTCGCTTTCACCATCTATGTCTGGGAGGTGCCAGCCAAGCCTGCCCCACAAGAGACACAGTGGGACTCCTTGTCCTCGTGCCAGTGGGTTGGCTGCAGAGGTGGCCTACTGGTGGGTGGCAGTGCCAGCTGTGCGCCAGGACCAACACAGCTGTTCTCCCTTTCCCCTGCTCCTCATGCCGGCCCACTCCGTCCTTCCTCCTCATCCTGCAGCAGACCCTCTTCCAGGCCTTTCTGTGAAGGTCTGTTTCCTCAGTAACAGGTCTTGAGTGTGCTGTGCTGTGTGTTAGGATCGGTGGTCCATGGGACCGCCGTCAGGTCTGCCACGTGGCAGCAGCAGGACGATGGTCCTGTGTGTGAGCTTTCCTGAGCATATCCATGGGGGAGCCACTGTGGGTGCCAGTGTGTCCATTCCCGGGAGAGTGGGTGCTGCAGAGCAGCTGTCATCTCCCCACGGAGGCGGGCGCAGAAGGGCTGCAGGAGTCTGGTGTAAAGAACAGCTCCAAGACTGGATTTCACCTTCAAGGCCTTCAGCAGGAAGGTGGACAGGAAGCTGTGAGGGACGGAGCAGTAAGTGAGTGGTTTGCTGGGCCGCGCTGGCCAGAACGCAGGTGCTTGGATACACAGCATGATGCCGTCTGTTGGAATTAAAGAATGGAGAGCAAGATAGGGGTTCTTTGTGAGCTGTGGGGTTCGAATGCAGCATCAGTTTTCTGGATGGTGTTGTCTTCCTTGAGCTAGTGGGTGTACGGAAGAGTTTTCCATTCATTTGACATCTTCCTGTGTGTTAAGTGCTTCACAGCTTTAAAATAGCAAGCAGGGTGTCCTGAAGGGAATGCCTCCAACCTGCAAGGGTTGACATCCGGCCTGAGACTGAGGGGCAGGCAGGAGATGCCTAGGGAAGGGACGAGGTGACAGTTCAGGTCACTTTCCAGTGACAGCCAGGCCATACATCCACCAGTAGGTGGGCAGGCCTGGTGTCAACAGCTGCAGTCAAGTGGGCTTGTCTACACGGAACGCGCATAGGAGCCCGAGGGACCTGTTATGAGGTCACTCCCGGGAATGTTTGCATCGGCACCTGCAAGCAGATGCCTTCGAACTCAAGCTCTGAGTGTGCCCAGCGTAAGAGCACTGAATGTTTCCTCCATGCGTCAGGTTCAGTGCATTTCAGAGCCTGCAGAGCTTGTTGGGATGCCCATGAGACTGCATATTGACACAGGAGGAAAGCGGACCAGCCGTTTGCCTCCATGGTGGGTTTCAAAGAATCTCACCTCGGGCTGCTTGTGCGCCCCTAGGATGACCTGGAAGCCCTCATTGCCCATTTCCAGACTCTGGACGCCAGAAAGACGAAGATCACAGAGACGCCCTGCGCCCCGCCGTCTGCACGGTAAGAAGGCTGACTTCTTTGCCTCATGACTTTGAGCATTTCCTGTCCTTTTATGAATTGGAAAGCTGCTTTCCGTCAGCACCATGTTTTCCTAAATGACCAGCCCTTGGGACATCTTCCTCACTGACACCTGCTGCGTGTTCCCGTGTCAGCTCGGCTGTCCTGCGGTGGCATGGGGGAGGTTTCCCAGAAGGCTGCTTTCCCGGGGGTCTGCCTGGGTACGAAGGCTCAGTGAGCTTTGCTGGTTCCGGGGTATTTAACAGTGCACATCCAGGTTGAAAACGGAAGAGTCACCATGTGTCGTGGCTGGGTGCCTGGAGCTGCACTTTGCAGGTGTGATCCCCAGGAAAAAGAAGGCACGTGAGGCAGGTACCAGTGCCAGGCAGGCAGCAGCAAGGAAGACCAGCCGCGTCTGTGTGGCTCATGCCTATGTGTGCCGTTATCATCTGTTTACATCCCTCTCCGCTGGGCTCACCAGACGTGTGTGATTCACTGCAGCTAAGTCAAAGCTACGTAAATACAGCTCTGTCTGCACCTGTGCCAGACGGAGGGCTCAAGTCCTTACAGCGTCCCCAGACGACCTGGGACCTGAGCGTTAGGCCACATTGTGCTGCGCATCATAGGATCGTGCCCTGTTTACTCCTAATGCTCCTGAATTTGCAGGTGAAAAGTCTGCTGAACATAAGTTTTTCTGGGTCTTGTGCCAGGCACCTGCAATCCCAGCACTCTAGCATGATCAGGCAGCACGATCATGACTTTGAGCCCTGGTTGGGCAATTTAGCAAGACTCTTCTGTTTCGGAATTTAAAAGTTTAAGTAAAATGAGCGGGGAATGTATCTCGTGTGCAGGGCTTGGGTTCAGTCCCCACTGCATGTATTACATGCATACATACATCAATCTGTGTGTAAGGCCATTTATTTTACTTTATTTTTTAGTTTTTAATTTTTTGTCTTTTTGACACAAGTCTTGCTGTGCAGGTCAGGCTGGCCTTGACTTCACTTTGTAGCCCAGGCTGGTCGTGAACTTGCTGTGGTCCTCCTGCTGCGATTGCAGGAGTGTACCACACCTGGCTGAGCCATTTTAAACGAATGTATCAGTTAGGAAAAGTTCGGATACACTGAATTCTTGCAGGGTTTCACACCCCCTTGGGGCAGGGAAGGGAGCAGGCTTTGCTCTCCATGTGGCTTCTCCCCAGCTTCTGAGTTCTGTTAACCAGGAGTTCAGGGCCTTGTAACTCTTCTCTTGGCTGCTCACGGGCCAGAGCACGCAGAATGTGGCATGCTAGGAACCTGGGAAGCGCCGTGGGGCAGGTGGGGAAGTGTCAGCTGGGCGCGCATCTGCGCCTGCTTCGCGTAGTTACGGAATCGTGCTTTGTTTACTTCAGAATAAAGTTAGACTTGGAGGCCGCGTCTCTCAGTGCGGCTGTCACAGCCTGTGAGGCAGCCCTCGGGAGGTCACATCGGAAGACTGTGTCAGCCCCTCCGAGGCCCCATGGTCGTCATGGCGGGTGTTGGGGAAAGTTTCCAGTTAGCAATACACGCACCCAGGGAAACCTCACGGGCTGCGGTGCCGCCACTGTGCACAGCTCAGGGTTTACTGTTTTGAGAGGCTGACTAAGAGGTGTGGACAGCCCTGCCAGGATTCTGATTGCGGGCACTTCCCAGCGATGGCCTCCTGTGGTCTCTCTATCTTTTCCAGCCTTCTACTGAAATAGGCAGAATATACACATTTGGACTTTTGTCCTGGTGTATCAAGTAAGTATAAGTTAGCAGCATTTTCTACATTGGGGCGTCCGGCACATGGTTGAAATCCTTCCAGGCCGGAGCTGGGGAACAGTTTTGACTGTGACGTGGGAGACAGGACCCTGCAAACGGTCCAGGTGTGGAGATGGGGTTCGGAAGTCAGGCCTAGGCTTCTCCCGGCCGCGACGTCCCTAGCCGGTTCTGAGGGAGGCAGCCAGCTGTCCGGAGCAGGAGGCTGGCGGCCAGCAGCTCAGGTTCGTCCTGAGGCCCAGGCCCGTCCTGAGGCCCAGGCCGTCTGTCTCTGGCCTCGGGGAGGCTGCACTGGGGCGGAGGCCCCGCAGGCGGGCGAGCGGGCCGTGCTCACGGCTGTTCTCCTCTCTGCAGGTTGAATGCCTCCCTCTCCGCACATCCTGAGAAAGATGAACTAATCCTTTTCGGAGGTGAATATTTCAATGGCCAAAAAGTAAAGTATATATTTTTTTCTTCTCCTTCCAACTTTCCAGGGTGTCATTTGGAGTAAAGTTAAAGTCATAATATAGATTCTCATGGTCCTTTCACTTCCCTCTACTGTATCCCCCTCCTGAGTGTCAGGTGTGATGCAGGGCATCCTTGCGTGTCAGCAGTCCCCTTGAGGCCGGGTGCCTGCTTGCCTTGGTTCTGCAAGGTCCCTGGCCCTGCTGAATCCCAGTGTCCCCTCTAGTCGTGCCTGTTGGAGGTGGGCCTGTCCCCTCATCCTCCTTGTGCTGACTCTTCACAGTTAGCTTTCAAAGAGGTCTCATTGGGGGTGCTGGGCATGGGCCCCAGGGCCTTGCACTGGCTTGGCAAGGGCTCTCTGCCTGAACTACGCCTCGAGTCCTCAGGGTTGTTTTGGAGACAGAAACTGCTGAGCAGTTGTGGGCCTAAGGTTTCTCAGCAGGCCCCAAAGCCCTCTTTCAGACTTGCATGTGAAGCAGGTGAGACGTGTGATCTCAAGTCCTTGGAGCCTCGAGGGTCTCTGTGCATCTGCCCCAGCGTCCTCTTCGAATTTTCCTGCATTTATGGAGCCCGGGCTGGAGGCAGAGTGAGCGGCTGACTGTGCAGCCAGGCGCTCGGGCCTTAGAAGTCAGTCAGCCAGGGCACTGGGCCTTTCTCTTTGTGCTCTGGTCTCTGGCTTAATGAAGTTTCTGCTTAAAATCCTTGACCTTAGGACGTTGGGAAAGAGTCCCTGCTTAACCATTCTGGCTTTACCTTTGGAGCAGTGTTCAGTCCGTGGCGTGAGAGATCACACTCTAGTATAAGATACACTGTGCCTGGTTGGTTTGCCCAGCTGTAGGCTAATGTCAGTGTTTTAGGGTCAGCTTGGCTAAGCTGTGGGGGTCTGGAGGTTAGGGGTATTGAATGCCTTGTCAGCGTATGAGGCACATTGAGGAGCATCTGTCTTCTCGCTCGAGTGTCTTCAGACCTGCCCACGGTCAGCTTGCAGTGGTCAAAAGCACGCTGCTCTAGGAGACAGACTTCCCAGAGAACTCCGGTGACTGCCAGCATCCGAGCAGCTTCCTGTCACTGGCCCAGCATGTCCTTTGTGACACTGACCTCCTCTTCCTTCCTGCAGACTTTTGTGTATAATGAGCTCTACACCTACAATATCAGAAAGGACACCTGGACGAAGGTTGAGATCCCTGGCCCGCCGCCGAGGCGCTGTGCTCACCAGGTAACCGCAGTACTGACCCTCAGCTCTCCTTCCCCTCCCATGTCCAGTGCACTGGTGAGTGGTGAGTGGTGATGGGGACGGTGTGGTGTCCAGCTGAGCATGGACGCGTTAGCCTACAGCTGCGGAAGAGCTGATTCCCATCCCACTGGGCCCCACGGAGTCCTTCCAATCCAAGTCTAAGCTTTGAAGAAGTGGCCACCGAGTGTCCCAGGGCCAGGCCCCGTCCCGGGTGCTGAGGGACAGCAGCAGGAGACGCCTGCTCTCCTGGGAGGTGTTTTGGGCCTTGTTGGGTCCTGAAGGTGTCACGTTTGCCTCAGGGAAGTCACAGCTGGTGCAAGGTTCTGTTACCAGCATCTGTGTTTTCTTGTGTTTTCCTGTGTGCCCCACTGATTGCTTATGTAGGCTTTGGGAGGAGAGTCGTGAACTTAAGGCCTTTAAACAGGTGAACCCAGACAAACGCCTGGGAAGCACACAGCCTCTGAGACGGCTTCTGTGGGTGCTGCACAGGGACCTGAGCACGTGGCCGCGTAAGGCTCCTCCGTCCCAGGAGAACAGGGTCACGAGCCAGGTTAAAGGCTCCTTCCAGATCACCACCTGGACGTCTGCACTGTCCATATGGAAAGGGTGGCTGGTGCTTTCATTTAGCCTGTTATTTAAATGGTCAGACGCAGCAGAGCTGTAAGTGTGACATGGTTCAGGAGTTGGACGGTGCAGAGAGGGTGGGCAGTCCAGGCTGGGAGGGTGCCGCATCTGGCTGGAGGCAGATGAGCTGTGTTCTGGTAACGGTGTGGCCTCTTTGGTGTCCTTTTTCCTTCACTTTTTGGTGCTGGGAATTGGACTCAGGATGTCACGCTTGCCAGGCAAGTGCTGTGCTGCTGAGCTGTGTCCCCTGGTGTCCTGCCATGCTTGGGTGGAAACGGATTTCCACCGAGAATCCCGGACAAGATGTCTTAGTGTGTGTGCTGCCGAGGCAAGCACGGGAGCAAGCTGCTGTCTCATGCCATGTCATCCCTGGCTCCAGAGGACAGCGCTGTCACATGTGTAGGGCCCAGGCTGCCTTTGTGTCGAGAAGGAAATCTGTCCTCTTTAAAACAGATGGCAAGTAGAGAGATTTTCTGTATCAAAAAGTATTTCATTATTCCTGTTTGTGCTATCATTTGCAAGTGCTTTTTTCTTTCCGTTAGGACCCACGCAGTACAAAACCATTCTGTAACATTTCAGGTTCCGTGTGTGTTTATTTCTTGTGGTACTTGTAGGCAGGTGGGCATTGCTTTCCAGCTGGGGAAGGACTGAGAGGACCAGAGCAGCTTTAGTGTAGACACTTTATAGAGTGTGCTCTTACTTCTGTTATAACTAATGTTAGCCTTCGAAGGACCTGTCCATGTTAACGGGCTGTTGGCGTTGCCCTAATATCCGTGGAAGTCCACGTTGTTACCTGGGACCACGTGAAAGTGTTTTAGAGTCTGAGGAGGGGATAGCCAGGAGGGTTTCTGCAGCAAGCTTCTCTTGGAGTCGGGAGAGGATGGTGGCTGAGTGGGGTCCCCGCCCCCGCGTGGGGCCCTGCTGTCCTTTCTGTGCCGCTGTGTGGCTGGACTGACTCATCGTCCCCTGACAGGCGGTGGTGGTGCCTCAGGGCGGAGGACAGCTGTGGATCTTCGGAGGGGAGTTTGCCTCCCCCGACGGGGAGCAGTTCTACCACTACAAGGACCTCTGGGTCCTGCACCTGGCCACGAAGACCTGGGAGCAAGTCAGGTAAGCGCTGGACAGAGGCCCGGAGACTGGACTGCGCAGTGGCAGGACGGACGCAGGGATGCCCGGGCCTGGAGGGGGCTGCCTGGCAGGGCTCGATAAAGCATCGCCAGGACTGGCTGGGGCCAGCAGTGCCTTCCGATGTCTCCTGTCCCTACTGTCACCGAGGCATTGTCATGTTCTGTTTATTTAGTGCAGCTCCTCTGATGGGCCGGCAGTTTGTCCCTGAAGGCTGCTCTGCTCTGAGGTAGCCATCCCCTGGGAGCTATGCTGCTTAGGGGCAGGGAGTGTCATGTGGGTGCAGAGAGCTGCAGCTGGGCAGAGCGGGCGGAGCAGCCTCACCCTTCTGGTGGGGCTGGGCACAGCCGCACCCTGTCTGCTGGGACACAGACTACACCTTTGTGGGTCGGTGGAGGAGGGGCCTGGGGGCCAGGACCAGCTCTTGAGAGACAGCAGGGTCCCCAATGGGTTTCCACCGAGCAAGTTTTATAGAGCAAAACCACGCGGTGGGTGCAACGTGGGTCACAACTGTGATAACCAATAGGATTGCAAGTGCAGTTGCTTACGTGAGGTTGATCTAATGTAGCAGGGGTACACAGGCGACATCATTAACCGTTGTGAACAATCTGTAGTCTGAGTCCTGGCTTTAGTCTTAATCGTAGTAGGTGGGAGAGGATGGCCCACCCCTAACGAGAGGAGAGGAAATCTCAAAAGGGCGATAGCAGTAACCCACGCCTCCAGTCATCCCTCGGTTGAGAAGTACGTGAAGCTAGCCATTGTGACCAGATGCACCTCCAGCCGCAGTCCTGATGGCTCCCGTCTTCCGCATGGCTCCCTCGAGGGCCCAGCCCCGTCTGACTGCCTGCTCGATTTCCGCCTAACTTAGCTGTCTGCAGTAGAGGGAGCCCTAGTTTTCCTGAAATGCCAGATGCCGTGGCTGTCACCTGACCTCACCCTCCCCAGATTGTTTTTGTTTTGTTTGGTGCCAGGGATCGAACTCACAACCATGCAGTTACCAGGCAGGCCAACTTGAGCCGCAGAGCTAAATCCCCAACCGTCCACATGCCATCTTATAGGTGGCCAAGGAAGCACACATCTGCCCTGACACCTGTCGCTCGCTGCAGGTCGTCTGCGCTGTGTGCATGCCGGTGCAAGCCTATGCCAGCTGGGGTCTCTACGGCGGCCACAGGGGGCTGACGGATCTGTCCCTGTACAGTAACGTGGGGACAAACTGCTGCCCATAGAAAGGGGCGCTGTGTTCCCGGTGAACAGGCCTGTGTAAAGGAGTGTCAGAGCTGAGCGGAGGGCATCACAGGGGAGGCCCTGGGTGTCCCTGCAGAGGTCTGTGCGGTCAGAGCTGGCCGGGGTTGGAGGCAGCACTGTCGTGGCCCCTCTCTGCAGCGTCTGTGGTCCTGCGTGGTTTCGGATGTGTGTCCCTTGCCTAAGTTCATGTCTGGGCATAGTCTTAAAAGAAGCCCTCCTTCACACGGTTTACAGAAACCATTTCAAAAGCAGAACCACATGCCTTGGGGGAAGCCTGTGTGTGTGCATGTTTGGGCCAGGAAGCCCGCGTTGCACACGCATGCGACACAGGGAAAGGAGTGTGTTGTGCCTGTTCCTTGGTTTTGGTTGGCGCCTCCCCTGGTTCCATTCCTTCGTGGTACGCTGGATACTTGGAGGGTTCTGTTGTTTCATTCACTTAATGTTTGTGGGGTTTGCTGTTGTTGTTGTTGTTTATTTTTTAAAGAGACACAAGAAGGATTTGTAACAGAGATTTGGACGCACTCAAGAGAGGAGCGCAGGTGCTCAGAGGGGGCGCCGTGCAGGGAGCTGTGTGGGTGCAGCGGGCTGCGGGGCTTAGTGGGCTCAGTCCGCCCTGGTGCTAGGAGAAGCCAGCTCATCACAGTGACACGATGGGGGCCCCGAAAGGGAGGTCCGCCGCTGATGAAAGGCCCATTTGCAGGAAGAACGGGAAGCCAGACCCCTTTACAGCTATAACGGGAGTTGCCCAGCTTTGCTGTTTTGGGCAAAGAGAGAGAAAAAAGAAAAATGAATAAACTGGGCTTGTCTTTTTCCTTAAAAGTACAGTCTTAAAAAGCCTTGATCCCTTTGTCTCCTTCACCCAGTTTTAGGAGTTGAGCAGCTGGCCAGCATTGAGAACTCAGCAGCAGAAGTGAATTAGAAAGGCGGTGATTTCCCTGTACGGAGGACAGGCAGGCTGCCTTGGAGAGAGGGCAGGGCCCAGAAAAGGGTGGCCTCGAGAGCCTTCGCGCCTGGCTTGTGCTGGGGTCCGGGCCCTTCCTTCCAGGGGGTCCTGGGAACCTGCCGCAGTCTGGATTCCTGGCTACCGTGGGCTGGTCCCAGGTGCACTTTCCCTGCGGTGGTCTTTGATTTTCTCCTGCCTTTGTTCTTGTCAGGGACTTACATCTGGATTTCCAGGTTGGTTAGGAGGAGGTTGCTTAGAGGTGAGGTCGGGGGTGTGTGTGTTTAGTGCAGAGATGAGTGACCCTGGAGTGAGCGTGTGTTTGTGTAATAAGAGGGTCCTTTCCGTTGGGCAGCCGCCCTTGCCTCCTTTGCACTCTGTCGTGAGGAGCGGCCACCCTGTGTCACGCACCTGGCTCCCTCGGGTCTGCCTGTCAGCGTGGCCGGCTCTGGCCGGTCTGCTCATTGGACAGCCTTCCTTTCTTTGTGGTAGATCCTTCGCCATCTGCGCTGTCTCACGCTGTTTTGTATCTGGTTTTTCTCTTCTACCTTTGTGCTTCTAATTGCTACGGAAGGAATTCTTCCAGTAAGATTTTGACTCCTTTAGTTGGGATTAGCTAGCGAATCTAACTGCAGAGGCAAATGCCTTTAGTACGACTTTCTAGTTTCTTTGATAAAGCCTGGTGGCCCCCGTTTCGTTCTTCCCTGTCCACAGACCCGAGCCGACATTTCCACTGCTGTCCTCCTTCGCCCCCACCCCAGACCCTGGTCCCTTACCCTTACCCAGAGGTGGGCTTCAGCACCTGCCGCCGGCCGAGGAGGGGCATTGATCCTGCCTGGCCAGGGACCAAGGGCCCTTCCTGGCTGGTCCAAAGGAGACTTAGGAATGTTGGGGTCCATCTTTTGACTCATTGGTTTCTGTGAGGCAGGCTCTTGCCAAGCCTTTCGGGCTGTCCTCTGCCTTGGTGTAACCTAGGTGACCTTGAGCTCCTGGTGTCCCCCTGCCAGCCTGCTGAGTGCTGGGATTCCAGGCATGTGCCACCACGCCCAGCAGGCTCCATCTTTTTGAAGAACCACGATCTTTTGACAGTCAAACCAAAGTCCAGGTATCTGAAGTGCACACATCTCAAGGTCCCACTTGGTGGCCAAGATGGCTGTCACTGGGCTGGGTCTGTGGGTCCCCAAGATTGAAATGAGGGGTTCCACCCAGTCTCCTAAAATCAGGTTGCAGGTTCACTGACTCCACCTGTGGAAAAAAGCCGAGTTTTCCGGCTTCGGTAGTAAGAGACGAGAGAAGGGTTTGTTAGCGTAGGCCCGGGAGACGAGGGCAGGCGCTCAGAGCGGGCAGCTGTGTTTCTCGGCTTTGCACCCGCTTGTTCATGGGCTTTGTCGTCAGCTCTTCATAGCCTGTCTTTTGATTTCATTAAGGTTTTGATAGGGCGGAGCTAGGGATAGCAAACACTGGAATCCCAGCACTCAGAAGGCTGAGGCAGGAGGTTTGCCATGAATTCAAGGCCAACCTGGGCTGCAGAGTGAGTTCAAGACCAGCTTGAATTACATAGCAAGACCCTGTCTCAAGAAAACCAAAGGAGGGAAAATGTTTAGGTTTTGGTAAGATTGATTTTCTTTTTAATCAATAACATTTGCTGAGAATTGCCATCTTTACTGTCCCGTCTTCCCAGTCAAGAATGCTGCATCTCTCCACTTGGTTGGGTTTCTTTTTTATTGTTCAGTCAAATTTAGTGGGGCCAGGCATGGTGGTACATGCCTGTAGTTCCGGCATTTGGGAAGCTGAGGCAGGAGAACCACCGTGAGTTTGAGGCCAGCCTGACAGGTGGACGTGGCGTTGAAGTCACGGGTACATGTTTCTAAAGCTTTTTCCACGGGCCAGTTGTTCCCATGCTCACGGTGTAGCAGTCTGCAGGTGCAGAGTGTGGCTGCTTTGGAGAGTGTCTTCAGTCCTCCTCCGGGTCCTCCCTTACCTCACAGCCGAGACAGGCGTGCGCAGCTTCCTGAAGGCCCATGTCTCTGGTGCTGGCTGCCCTGGTGCTTTGGAGACCTGGAGGCGTTCCAAAAGAGCGCTTCGTTGGGGAGAGGCCACTCCTGCAGCGAGCGGCTCTCAGACATCCGGCGGCACCCAGGCGGCTCAGGTGCGCTTGTTGCCTGCTCTCCTCCCCGCGTTAGTCAGCTCGGAGCAGGTTTCACGGGGCCCCACAATCTGCAGTTTGCACAAACCTCTTCAGAGCACAGATGGCCCGCAGCCGGACCTCAGCTGGCTTCTGATGGATCGGCCTCTGACACGGGTGGGTGGCGTGCTCATGTATTTTGAACACACTGTCTCCGATGTGAACATTTCTATCTGCTTCTTTTAAAAGGTGAAGAGGCTCGTGTAAAATGCGTGTTAGTGGTTTTTTGTTTTGATTTTTTGTTTTTGGTGTTTTTTTGAGACACGGTCTCACTGTGTAGTGCAGGTGGCCTCAGACTCACTATGAGCCCAAGTTACCCTCGAACCCACGGTGTTGTTCCTGCCTCGGCCTCATGTGTGCTAGAATTACAGGCGTGCACTGCCGCCGGGCCAGTGCCGCTTTGTTTTTTTTTTGACTTTTTGAGACAGGGTCTCAATGTGCAGATTAGGCTGGCTCTGCGCTCACTCTGTAGCCCCTGCTGGTCTCCACCGATTCTGCTGATTGCAAGGGTCCTCCTGCATCAGGCCCCCATGTGACGGGGTTACAGCGTGCGCCACCACGCCCAGTTGCCTGTTAGATTCTTAACGCTGAAAATGGTGAGGTGTTGCTTTCATA